CCTCTCTCCCTTCTTCCATCCTCTCTCCCTTCTTCCATCCTCTCTCCCTTCTTCCATCCTCTCTCCCTTCTTCCATCCTCTCTCCCTTCTTCCATCCTCTCTCCCTTCTTCCATCCTCTCTCCCTTCTTCCATCCTCTCTCCCTTCTTCCTCTTGGTTTCCATGATGGTGGAATTGGCGTTGTGTGTTTTTGAACACATGACCAGATCAGCGTCAGTGCGGCCTCATTCATGTCCTCAGTGTCTCCTCTTGTGGTTGGAGGTCATTTTGCAGTCTTGCTCTTCTTAGTGTCACGGAATGTTCCTCACGTGTATCGTTACCTCCTGCGTGACGTGTTAGCGGGAGCAGAAGATTCACACAGAGAATTGTCTTCCAGCGACTTGTCAGCTTTGGGTGGAGAACGTGATGAAGAGCCAGCTGGAGACAACTCCTTCTCTTCATCACCAGCCATGGGAAGGACTCCGCTCTCCAATGTCCTCTCGGCTTCTTTCCCATCACTGCCGCGGCCCATATGGCAACGAAAGGTTTTCAATCATTCTACAGCAGTGTAATGGTCCCGGGATCGTTTCCATGAGCCGGCTGCGTTCCAGAGTGGAACGCATCGGCCGTGGACGTAACAGGGCGCCTCCTCCCCCTGGGCGCGTACTGCTATGCGTTCCGGGGTGGAACGCGGAAGTGACGTCACGCCGCGAGGCTCCAGTATATAAGAGGCCTCTGAACCCATGGATGGCGTTCCACTATTGGGTTCATGGCCCAACACCGCAGGAGCTACTCAGCATCAACCAGCCTATTACCCGGACCTCTCACCACCAACCTTTGGAGGCATTGCCAGGAGTCCTAAGGATCAGCAGAACCAAGGGGTTTAACTAGGGTTGCCACCTGTTCTTCAAGTGAAACCCGAACACTCCAGCGACGCACGGACATTTTTGGGGGAGAATGAGTCGCGGCTTGTTCATATGTACATAGCGCCGCCCATTCATATGTAAAAATCTCAGTAGAGACTATTTTTAGTGGGGGGGCCAGTAGCCCCTATCTTAATTTTGGTTGCCCCCGTCTGCCTGACATCTTGTGTCCGGGTTTCTGCTGCCATGAAACCCGAACACAGCATTCAAAACCCGGACTGTCCGGGTGAATCCTGGACGGGTGGCAACCCTAGGTTTAACTCCCCTCAACCGCAAGTACTTGCATTAGCTTTACTGGTGACTCTGTTTGGAGTCATTACACTGCCACCTGGTGGATCCTTTGCATATCTTCTCCATATTTTGCCTATGCTCTATCACTATCAGTGCATAACTGGATTGCTATTGCTGAGTTTGTTCTCTTTATCTAAAGGCTGTTTAGTTAACAAGCGCTCTCTCATTTGCATAACCACTCCTGTGATGATATTAGGAATATGGAGCAATGTTCCTCATACATAGTGTACCTTAGCCTCTTGTTATTTTTTCTGCGGTAAATGATTTCTAAATCCCAAACTCTCCGTTTGTGATTGAGAGTGCCGCCTGGGATTTTAGCCTGACACGGCACTTTCAAACCCTACTGGTTAGAACTGCAGCTGAGATCCACCGCACCTCCGTGAAGTACGGTACATGACAAGCAGCAGCAAAAAAGAAGATCTCAGCTCCCGAATATCTCCGATAGTGAAAGTCTGATAGAGTGATGAAACCTTTCCTGTAGCGGGTTCCTCAGGTCTGGGAACTGGATCATCGCTACTTTCATTCCAGGACCGGAGATCACATCGGAGACCTCTTCAGACAAAACTCTTCTGTATCCTCTCTCAGGATCACGTGACACTCAGACCTTTCATGGAGTTTGAGGACGGTTGTCCCGAAGCTCCATCCCGCCATGGAATGGTTATTAGCAATCTTGGCCCAGTCTTCACTTCACGGACAATCAGCCTCTTCACACTCTCTGGTGGACTTTGTATCCTTCCAGGGGACTGCCAGACAGCATAAGCCTAAAACAATCCAACCTGTTCCCAGGTTTATTAGGTTCTCCGCCCTTCCAATGAATGTCGCCAGCGAGAGACCCGCCAGAGGTCATTACGGAGCAGAACGTTGGTCTCAGTAATCATACGGAGCGTCTGGTCTGGACCTCTTATTTGGCAGCGATATCTTGTGATTTCCATTCTTCTTCCCTCACTTCTTTATTCCTTCTAGCTACTTAATTCCCATGTGTGCTAACATGGGGCAGCACGTAGAAACAGAAAATTGGTAGTTACCCTAATTTTACCATCCTGGCCCCTCACCCTATGAGCACAGCGTCTCCCCCACCTATATGTCTGATCATGGCCAGGTAACATGGATCGGATTGTGCGCAGCGAGGAGAGCTTGGAGAGACTATACAAGGTGCCATCTTGGGAGACTCGGAGGTGGATCATTGGTACCAGCATGGGAGATAATATAGGACAGAGTCTGGGAGATCTCAAACACTTGCCTGTTATGAAGCTTATGGTGGAAGTATCACAGCAGCTGCGTTCTGGCTCCGCCCACGTCACCATTGTCACTCGGAAGTTATAGTACCAGGCAGGAAGTAGATTGGTCAATCTCTGCAAAACATGAATATCATCTCTATATGATGAACACGTTCTTCATGTCCAGGAACACTGATGTGTCTGTTCATCTCATACATGTCTATCACGTGTCCTTCCCATGTACAGAGCTCATGAATATGGAATACACAGACTGCATGGGTTGTGCATGTGTGGAACGTCTGCGACGCGATAAGAAAGGAATACACGTTACCACTGTAGATGTCAGGGAAACAGTTGCTGCAATTTCATAATATGGAGTCCATTCCGATGTCATGGTAACGGGGCTAAAATAAAACATTTCCACCACATATTTCCGGAAGACGCTGTGATACGGGCGGCTCCAGCTCAGCACCACGGCTGACGGTCCCAGAGGGTACAGCACCAAGTCCTTGATTCCGGTTGGTTCTGTGGATTGGAAAGCAGATGAGTTCTATGATATATATTGTAGCAGAATCCAATTCTAGATACAAGTCACATTGTTGCTGATATTGTCAGAACACAGAGAGAGCCGGACTGAGGGCGGAGCCACCATGGTCCTCCCATGGCACGCCCATCTGTACAGCGTATAACGCACATTGCTGCCGATGTTCAGTAAATCGTTTTCTGATGAACAATTGACAAGTAAAAAGATTTCTCACCAATAGAGAAGAGAACCGGATCTGACGGGGGGCCTAGTAACGGGGCTCTATGCAGGTAGACGACCACCCTGTACTGGGCTCCGGGCACCATGTTTGTGATGACATTGCCGGTCAGATTGACCTAAAAACACAAAACAGGCTGAATACAGAACGTCTGCGTGTTCACAACATGTCAAGGAAAGAAGCGTGTGAGCTGTAAACGTGATATCTTTCTCCTTACATGTGACATGAGTTGGAAGCGGTGATCACATGCATACCCCACCCTCCCCCCTCCCCCCTCGCAGGGGACATCTTGTGATTGTTAAATTTGTCTATTGTCGTCCTTATATACCAAAATATGTGCCGAAACCTCCCAGTTCTAGCACAAAACTCAGAATGCTGAATAGAAGAGCACGAGAGTCATCGGCCTCTTACAGCCATCTGAAGAGTGAAGATCATGGAGAACATAGAGAACATAGAGAACACAAAGAACTCGAAGAACATGGAGAACATGAAGAACATGGAGAACATAGAGAACACGTAGAACATAGAGAACACTAGAACATAGAGAACACGGAGAACACGGAGAACACGGAGAACACGGAGAACATAGAGAACACGGAGAACGTGAAGAACATGGAGAACACGAAGAACATGGAGAACACGGAGAACATGGAGAACACAGAGAACATGGAGAACACGGAGAACACGAAGAACACGGAGAACATGGAGAACACGGAGAACATAGAGAACACGGAGAACGTGGGGAACAACGAGAACATGAAGAACTCGAAGAACATGAAGAACATGGAGAACACGAAGAAGATGGAGAACACGAAGAACATGAAGAACACGGAGAACATGAAGAACACGGAGAACATAGAGAACACCAAGAACATAAAGAACACGGAGAACACGGAGAACATAGAGAACATAGAGAACACAAAGAACTCGAAGAACATGGAGAACATGAAGAACATGGAGAACATAGAGAACACGTAGAACATAGAGAACACGTAGAACATAGAGAACACGGAGAACATAGAGAACATGGAGAACACGAAGAACACGGAGAACATGGAGAACATGGAGAACATGGAGAACACGGAGAACATAGAGAACACAGAGAACACGGAGAACATGGAGAACACAAAGAACATGGAGAACACAGAGAACATGGAGAACCCGGAGAACGTGGGGAACAACGAGAACATGAAGAACTCGAAGAACATGAAGAACATGGAGAACACGAAGAACATGGAGAACATAGAGAACATGAAGAACATGGAGAACATAGAGAACATGAAGATCAAGGAGAACATGAAGAACATGAAGAACACGGAGAACATGGAGAACACAGAGAACACAAAGAACATGGAGAACACGGAGAACATGAAGAACATGGAGAACACAAAGAACATGAAGAACATGGAGAACATGGAGAACAGGAAGAACCTAAAGAACATGGAGAACGTGGAGAACAGGAAGAACCTAAAGAACATGGAGAACATGGAGAACAGGAAGAACCTAAAGAACATGGAGAACGTGGAGAACAGGAAGAACCTAAAGAACATGGAGAACGTGGAGAACAGGAAGAACCTAAAGAACATGGAGAACGTGGAGAACAGGAAGAACCTAAAGAACATGGAGAACGTGGATTCCATAGTTACCTCCTTACAGTAATACTTTTCCTGCCTCTGACTCTCCTTCTGTTTCCGACACGTCTGGGAGCACACGGACACAATAGCGTCACTGGCCATGGAGGACGTCCATGACACCAATGCGGACGTAGAGTTCAGAGTTCTCACCGTCACATTCTTTGGTTTTTCTGTCAGTTCCTCAAACCATTTTCCATCCGGAGCTTAAAGGGGAACAGGAGAAAATTCTGAGAGATACAACAATGTCCTCCGAGATCTTCACCCAACCTTCCGATAGGAAAAAGAATCAACCCAACCGCAGACCCCAGACATGGATGTGTCAGCCCAATGCCAACAGAGCGCTCATGTGTACTGACATCTGTACAATGAAGACTGACGGGTAATTACCGTGTACACAGAAGTCAGCCTCCACCATGATTGGGTCTCCCAGCACCATGAGCCTCCACCATGATTGGGTCTCCCAGCACCATGAGCCTCCACCATCATTGGGTCTCCCAGCACCATGAGCCTCCACCATGATTGGGTCTCCCAGCACCATGAGCCTCCACCATTATTGGGTCTCCCAGCCCCATGAGCCTCCACCATGATTGGGTCTCCCAGTACCATGAGCCTCCACCATGATTGGGTCTACCAGCACCATGAGCCTCCACCATGATTGGGTCTCCCAGCACCTTGGGAGGCTCCACCATGATTGGATCTCCCGGAACCATGATCCTCCACCATGATTGGGTCTCCCAGCACCATGAGCCTCCACCATGATTGGGTCTCCCAGCACCTTGGGAGGCTCCACCATGATTGGATCTCCCGGAACCATGATCCTCCACCATGATTGGGTCTCCCAGCACCATGAGCCTCCACCATGATTGGGTCTCCCAGCACCTTGAGCCTCCACCATGATTAGGTCTCCCAGCACCTAGAGCCTCCACCATGATTGGGTTTCCCAGCACCTAGAGCCTCCACCATGATTGGGTCTCCCAGCACCTAGAGCCTCCACCATGATTGGGTCTCCCGACACGCGGTCACTTACCTATATAGAAGCTGAGTGTTTTGGCCTCTCTGCTTTCGCGGGCGTCACAAGAACCAGAAGAGCTGACGCTTCTTACGGTGTACTGATACTTTCCCGGCTCCATCAGCTCAGTTACAAAGTCGTCAGTATTTTCATCCACGGTGGAAATTAAAGTCACATTTCCTAGACGGAGAGACGAGGAAAGTCAAATATCCTTCAATGTATCCGGAGATTACCCAATAACATGACCCCATAGAAGGGTCTGGAGGGGGAGGGGTTGGGGGGAGAATCCCACAGTGCAGATATGAAGCACCCACATATACCAGGGAGTGCAGTGATATCAGGGGAGCCTAGGCACACTCATATACCAGGGAGTACAGTGATATCAGGGGAGCCTAGGCACACTCATATACCAGGGAGTACAGTGATATCAGGGGAGCCTAGGCATGGCAACATACCAGGGAGTGCAGTGATATCAGGGGAGCCTAGGCACACTCATATACCAAATCTCTGGTAAAATGGCAGAAACGAGAAATACTCTGAACACATTTGGGACATTTACCGTCTTTGTGAAGATAAATGTTGAAACCATGGAATGCCGTTGGTGGCTTTGGAGGGAACCAGCTGATGGAGACTTGGAACCTGGACGGAGGACGGAGATCTTGGCCAGCTTCAGAGGAGAAACTTCCTAAAGTTGGATTCTCATAGTCTGGGGGAATTTCATTGACAAACCCTTCCACATCCACTGTGGCCGTCTCGCTGACCCACCAGTAGGGCGGCGCTGTGGTCTCAGAGCTGCCATTCAATAGATATTTCTCCTCAGTCCAGTTATAGGAGGAACTTGCAGCTGAGCTCTCAAACGGATCATCAAATGTCTCCGAGGACCTCCCGCTGGGGCTGATGACGTTGCTCTCTGTTGTGGACGTTCCTTCTCCGGGATCTTCTGCTCTGCTGAGGTTCACACGCAATATTTGTATGGAAATGTTTTGGGGGGGATAAGGAGCTTCAAGAAGAAGAAGAGATTGTAAGTGATCGGGTGAGGAAATCTCTTGTGATCAATACAATGATTGTATGATGATGTCATCACATCACTTCTCCTTCCAATCAGAACCATGGAGGAGCCAATGGAGGTCACATTGTGGATGATATATAATGGACATGGAGACCCTGGATAATGGACATGGAGACCCCGGATAATGGACATGGAGACCCTGGATAATGGACATGGAGACACTGGATAATGGACATGGAAACCCCGGATAATGGACATGGAGACCCCGGAAAATGGACATGGAGACCCCGGATAATGGACATGGAGACCCTGGATAATGGACATGGAGACCCCGGATAATGGACATGGAGACCCCGGATAATGGACATGGAGACCCTGGATAATGGACATGGAGACACTGGATAATGGACATGGAAACCCCGGATAATGGACATGGAGACCCCGGAAAATGGACATGGAGACCCCGGATAATGGACATGGAGACCCTGGATAATGGACATGGAGACCCCGGATAATGGACATGGAGACCCCGGATAATGGACATGGAGACCCTGGACAATGGACATGGAGACTCTGGACAATGGACATGGAGACCCTGGACAATGGACATGGAGACCCTGGATAATGGACATGGAGACCCTGGATAATGGACACGGAGACCCTGGACAATGGACACAGAGACCCTGGACAATGGACATGGAGACCCTGGACAATGGACATGGAGACCCTGGACAATGGACATGGAGACCCTGGACAATGGACATGGAGACCCTGGATAATGGACATGGAGACCCTGGACAATGGACACTAGGACCCTGGATAATGGACATGGAGACCCTGGATAATGGACATGGAGACCCTGGTCCATGGGGAGGAGATGGAAGTCATTATTGGCTGTATATTGTCTGATTGGCCGAGTTGTCCAGTGTCAGGCCTGCCTGTGTATTGGATCTGATCGCCCACGTGGCCCCCGGCATTGTCAGGATCGTCATATTAGAGAACCAAACGTCTCTCATTCAGTCCCCTCTACACCCGAGTTGGGTCATTCCCATGTGTCCCCTCGGGGGCCCTACGTGTGCTTCATAGAATTGTTTCACCAAATTACAGAAAATTACTTCAGAAAAATAATTTCCGCTACACGCAGAGCGCATGTTACAGCGATATATTCCCCCAACGCAGCGCCCGGGAGGGGGAGGGGCAGCAGGTTCAGTGATGGGAAATGGATGTTCCGCGATCTCCTGCTGCTCACCATCCTCATGTCGGTCACACTCTATATTCTCATAAAGGTAATAAAAACTTCGTCTTGTTTCCCGTGTTCATTATAACTACATGGGATTAAACACGCTTATGGACCTCTAGAGATAAACTGCACCTGTCACACATCTGGAGAACATGTCATACGTCTAGAGATCACGTCACACTTCTGGAGAACATGTCAAACGTCTAGAGATCACGTCACACTTCTGGAGAACATATCATAGAAATGGAGATCACGTCACACTTCTGGAGAACATGTCATACGTCTAGAGATCACGTCACACTTCTGGAGAACATGTCAAACGTCTAGAGATCACGTCACACATCTGGAGAACATGTCATACGTCTAGAGATCACGTCACACTTCTGGAGAACATGTCATACGTCTAGAGATCACGTCACACTTCTGGAGAACATGTCAAACGTCTAGAGATCACGTCACACTTCTGGAGAACATGTCAAACGTCTAGAGATCACGTCACACTTCTGGAGAACATGTCATACGTCTAGAGATCACGTCACACTTCTGGAGAACATGTCATACGTCTAGAGATCACGTCACACTTCTGGAGAACATGTCAAACGTCTAGAGATCACGTCACACTTCTGGAGAACATGTCAAACGTCTAGAGATCACGTCACACATCTGGAGAACATGTCATACGTCTAGAGATCACGTCACACTTCTGGAGAACATGTCATACGTCTAGAGATCACGTCACACTTCTGGAGAACATGTCAAACGTCTAGAGATCACGTCACACTTCTGGAGAACATGTCAAACGTCTAGAGATCACGTCACACTTCTGGAGAACATGTCATAGAAATGGAGATCACGTCACACTTCTGGAGAGCATGTCATACATCGGGAGTACATGTCATGCATCTTGAGAACATATCATACTTCTGGATAACGTGTCATACAACTGCAAAACATGTCATACATCCATTCCACAAGACTAATATGTAGCTAGATGTGCCCCCAACAAGACCAGAATACCACATGACCATCTCATGAACATTTTACATGACCACCTTTCTAGATCATATGTGACCTGATGTCCATCCTAACGTTACATGTGAAGATGGCCCTTCCTTTATATATAGAATGGAGATCCCGGGAACATGCTGCATATTCTTGGTATGTTGCCGTGTCTGGTTACCTGTGCGGTGTTGCTGTGGCTGGTGTCCTATGCCGCTGCTTCTCACCAAGGTGGTCTCGTTGAAGGAGGTCTCGGATACCAGCTGGAAGGTGATGTTGGAGTAACAGATTCCCGGCATCAGGTGATTGAACACGGTCTTACCCTTCACGGCGTCTGCGGAATGACAAGAAGCCGACACGTGACTTTCCCTCCACAGAAGAAATACAACAAGGAGGCGGGAACCTGCTCATGTGATGGGTGGGGCCCAATATGGGGTCCTACAGGGGCCACGCACATAGATGACACAGACGGACTGCGCTGGCGGCTCCTCCAGACGAAGACGAGATTTTCCTTTCAATTATTTTTATAAGATTTCAGAAATAATTTGCAGAAAACACAAAAAATGTGACAAAATAAACGGGAGCCCAGCGAGCGGAACCATCAGAACAAAGTCCATCAGAACAAAGTCCATCAGAACAATACCGGACTACAGAGATAAGAAACATGGTGATATGAAATGTGATACAGAATAATAATGATACCTATAGGCGCGGCGCTACGGGGGCGCTGCAAGGGGAGGGCCCCGGGGCCCCGAGGTCGGGTGATGATGTCACTATGGGGAGTGTGAATATTAGGATGTAATGGGTAAATCTGAACCTCACTGTAATATTATATATCTAGGGAAGAAACCGCTTCCCACTTAGGGTTCGGGTTACGGTTCAGGTTTAGGGTTAGGGGTTAGGATTAGGCTTAGGGTACGGGTTTAGGGTTAAGGTTTGGGTTAGGCTTAGTTAGGGTTAGGGTCTAGGGTTCGGTTCTACGGTTAGGGTTGGGATTAGGGTTTAGGGTTAGGGTTCGGGTTAGGCTTAGTTAGGGTTAGGGTTAGGGTTAGGGTTCGGGTCTAGGGTTAAGGTTAGGGTTGGGTTTAGTGTTAGGGTTCGGGTCTAGGGTTCGGTTCTACGGTTAGCGTTAGGGTTGGGATTAGGGTTTAGGGTTAGGGTACATAGTTACATAGTATTTGAGGTTGAATAAAGACA